ATGGATCTTGTTAACAAAATTCATATTGCTTTAGATTGAACGAATGAATGGCGATCGAGCTGCGCAAGATCCTAGACGGACTACGCGCTCTCCTTAGCTGCGTGGAAAAGTTCGAAGGGCCTACCCAAGACTACTCCATCCGTTCACGAACCCCTCCCGCGTTAGCTCGCCCATGCTTGGACTCTGCACGATCTCGGAGACGATGAAGAGGCCGACATCCTCGAGATCGACCCCGATGTCGTGGAAGTAGTTGCTCGCACCATCTAACCCGATACTGTCTGGGTTGCTCCTTGGGTCGTCTGTCCTGTCTCAGCCGTATTCTGTAGATAGACTGATGAGGCATTTTGGTACTTACCGCGATATCTGTCGAAGAGCTTGTTGAGATTGGTTTTGGTAGCTGACGAGGGTGGGTGAGCGGTGGAATTGTTCTGGAAGTGTCTGGAACGCCTTTGTCAGCATTTAAAGAAGAAAGCAGTCAATTTGAACGAAGTGCTAAGCGATATGGTCACGAAGCAATCCGGACGGTCACCAACTCAGCCTCGCGAATGTTACGCAGGTTCTCGTGCAGCTGCCGAAACATGCTCTCATCATACGGCACACCGCTTGTGTTGGTAATTGGTGCCGGAGACGGCATGTATGCAGGTAAGACAACTCTTGTGACCGGCAGGCGAGCACGGATATGCCCTTCCCGCGTGGAAGACGGTCCCTGCGCTCCTCGACCTGCTTCGGGCGGCTGGAGATTAGCCGGTGGCATGGATGTATGTGGGTTGCGATTCGATGATTGCACAGCCTGGTATTGTAGCATTTGTGCCGCATAAGGGCTAACGCGTTGAGCTACTGCCTGGGTACCTGCGGTAATCCATGGCCGATTTCCCAGGATGACCCCTGCAGTCGGATGCAGCATCCGTTGGAGGGCTGGGTAGGCTTGCCGTGGCATTGATTGTTGAGGACTGTTGAGCAACGTATACGATGGTATGACTGGGTGCCCGGATGGAGGTGCAGGCGGAGACGGGTGGCTGGGCTGCGGCGGTCCATGAACACTTTGAGCTGCTATGCCTTGAGGGCTGTTTGCTTGTTGCGGTTGACTGGATACTGCCGGAGGCGGTGGCAACGCGAGCGTGTTCATTTGCGGACGAGTCGCTTGATGCTGCCCGCTGGCCCTTGCCTCATCTTCGACTTGGCTGCGCTTTTGTCGCTTTGGTGGCATGGCGAGCTCCTTCCAGAGGCGTGGATGCTGGCTTCGGACCGCTTTTCCGTGGTCGATGACGAGAGGAGCGTATTTGGATGTTGTGAGGATGGGAGCCGCTCTCAGCAGTGCTGATCTCAACATCCGCTCGGTGGAAGCCTTTGTGTGCGTGTGTTTGTTCTGTGGTACTATCGTCTCTTCACCGACGTCCAATGGTCCCAAATCGACTCGTCCGAGGCCGAGGGTTGTGAGTACAACTGGCGTGGAGCGGCGGCAGGACGCGGCAAGTAGAGAGCGGCGTGGAGTTGATTGTCGTAGTGATAATCCGTGGGCAATCTCGTACGTATGGGGAAGGATTGAGACGTGCTATGGATGCGGAGCAAGAGAGTCGACGAACGTACCCATTGATTGCGTTCTGGACGTCCCAGTTATGGGACTTAAGTATCTGAAGAAGTGGGTGTCAGCTTTCGCGCCTGCCTCGCGCTTGTTGTTGGGGGTTGTCGCACGACGGCAGCAGCAAACTACTTCGGCGGAAGCTGGGAAAGGAAGAAGAAAGAGCTACGCACCCTCGCAGCAGATGTTCGATCTAGGCTGGTGAAGCTCACGAACTGTGATATGGCGGCTTTCTGGGTTGAGGTGTAGGCGGGCGGCATGGTGCCGGTTTCGATGCAGCGCCGGAGGAGGGTTGAAGGAGGGTTGAAGGGGCGGGCGGTAAGAGCAGAGGATATAGCAAAGTCAAGGCGAGAGGAAGTGGATGTGAAGGTGTGACAACGGTACGGTACCAGCTAACTTCAATTGACCGCTCGCTCATGCGATGACATGCGGTTCAAGGCTACCAACGATAGGCGATAAGATGCCATCAGATAAGATGACATGTTGACTCCCAGACTACGAGTACCACCACCAGTGCTCGTCTCGCTGTTCTGCGACTTCGGAGGGCTCCAAACGCGTGTTTCGATAGCTAGCACTTGTTGGCTACAAAGTGTTGTAGAACATAAAATTCCACATAAGATGTCCATACCTGTAGCCAAGTCACTATCAGCATCCGGATGTACAGGTACACGCCAGATACGACGCAGCTTTGGCAAAGTCCAGCCTGTGTATGAGTGTTACAACGACAATTAGAATACATAAATGTTTGCAGCCAGATTACCATACGGCATGCCACGAAATTCAGAACGGGTTCTTCCGCGTGCCTTCCGCGGCATTGCATGCCTCCTCCAGCCTATCCAGCTTCTCGACGATCGACTTCTGATTTTCTGTTTGCGCATTAGAACCCTGCCAATCCTGCGAGTCCTGTGAATCCTGTTCAGTCCTTCTCAACCTCTTTCAAGACACCAAGACCACTGTTTGCTATTGGAGTTGTTGTCATCCATTTATTGTCACTCATTCGGATCCCCACATGTTCCCTCGATGTCATAAAGTCGGGGCTGTAGTGGTGGCTTTCGTTATTGCATTTCTTCAATCCGTCATTGCGGTCAAGCTCTTTACCGATGATACTGTCCCTAGCAATCTGGCCATAGAATGTACCAATGCCCTTCTCACCGATGTCAACTGCAGTCCCGCTGTAGCCTCACTACGCAGCCGTTCTTACTATCCAAACACAACTCTCGAAAAAGCATGTACCGCAGAATGCTCAGATTCTTTAGCTACATATCAATCGAATGTGCTTGGCGCTTGTGGGACCGAACAGTATGAATACTACGAGGACACTCCACTACCCGTCGTACTCATCCCTGATCTCCTTCGTTATCATTTCAACCTTACGTGTGTGACGGATGCTGGCCGATTTTGCAATAATGTAGCCGCTGCGTATGCCTTGCAGCTTGATTCGGAAGGTATGTGAACTCCGCTGCGACTAGCTTGCTACATGAGCATGCGCCGTGTATGATTGCCATGCGTACCAATGCATACTAACGGCATTGTACAGAGGGTGACCCTGCTAGCGGGGTCCTCAACAGACACAACGCGACGGATCCATGTGATCTCTGCTTCATCAAAAACCTTCATTTCCAGTCGCAATTGCCTTATCACGATGGGCCGCGACTTCGAACGAGCTCGATGTACGAATCAAAGACCACTAGCTGCGGTGTTACCGACTCCATTGACAGCAACGGACTTGGCCTACTACATGTAATACAATGATGGTACACCGTGTGTTATCAAGGCTGACACCTAGCGCTGGTCCAACGGCAAGCACGGTGCCGTCTTCCACCGCATGCGCCGGTAAATCGTATGAGATCAAGCTAGAAGACGATTGCTACTTAATTTCCACATCACAAGAAATCGGCCCAGAATGGCTGCTGATAGACAATAAACTTGCAGCCTCTTGCGCGGATGTCCCGAGAAGCGGACCCCTCCGTCTAACCAACACATGTAGTGTTTATACTGTCGATACTGTCAAGCAAAACGACACCTGCGAAAGGATTGCAAAGTCTCAGGACATCACGGTACCGCAACTCAAATCATGGAATCCTCTAGGTCATCAAATCCCACCCACTCAGCCTGATAAAGCTGACAACGTTTAACCAGCACATCGATGCAGGCTGCTACAACCTTGGCAGGATGAATGGCACACAGGTCTGTGTGAGCATTCCCAGAAAACCATACATGAGACCTCAAACAACAAGAACCCTAGCGTCTGGCATTCCTGTGACGCCAGCGTCGGTTCCCACAGACGTGGCAAACGGTACAGATATATACTGCGGGCGCTCCTATCAGGCGGAGCTTGGGAACGATTGCAACCTGCTTGTCACCAAGTTCGGCATCGCTCTGGCTGATTTCATATTCCTAAATCCGCAAATCAACGAGAATCGCACAAACCTTCTGGCAGACGACAACTACTGCGTTCAGGCGGTTGGCGACAGTAAGTAAGTACTTTATCCTGACTTTTCTGGCTTACTCACGCGTTCCGTGTAGTCAATACTTACCCTAGTCGTCCCGGGTCGGGCTCAGCGGTCACGTCGTTTACCAGTTTGCGTGAAGATATGGCAACACGTCTTCCTACGGCCACCTATACCACCCCCGTCAAAACGATTACAGCGCTTCCTTTAGCCAGCGATATACGAAGAGACTGCTTTACCTATTTGACGGTGCGTCCTTCCAGGACGATATTTCCGGAACCTAGCTCAAGTCTCAATGCGATTTTGCAGCAAGCGTTCATGGTATCAGCTTGGAGGACTTGGGAACGTGGAACCCTGGTACAGTTTTGTTTTCACTCGGCCTATTGCGGCATTGCAAACTAACGCGCGGTAGTGCTCGGCGACACCAGTTTGCCCAACTGCTCATTTGAACCTAGCTTACAATATTGTGGCAAGTACTACGTGAGCGAGATACCGAGGCGCCCGTAGACACGGTCATACTACCAGACTTCGCTCTCCGAGTAAGCTCACAAGAATACACTCCCACTGCACGCAGCTAGTACCTATTTGTACTGACGGTGACGCTTCCAGGATGGCACCACAACAGATTGTACCGAATATGTCAACGTTGACGCTACCCTAGACTGTACCCAGGTCCTTGATTTCTACGGTCTTACGATCACGCAGTTCTATGAGTGGAACCACGCCGTAGGCCCAGACTGTGCTGGAGTATGGCCCAACTACGCATACTGCGTTCGTACGCCGGGTTTCATTGAGCCGACGACAACCACGAGCGCAGGAGTGACAGCTACCAGCGAGCCGGCCACAACATCATCACATGGGGCCCCAGGACCCACACAGACGGGTACAGCGGATACAGGAACTGCTACGCGCCCTCCCACCATCACTGCAGCCGTGCCCACTAATACCACCTCCGCGTCCATGACCACTTCATCCGCGCCCACAACCACGTCCGAAAATCTGATCCCCTCGCCTGCGCAGCCGAACAACATCGTTGATGGCTGCAACAAGTTCGCCCAGGCCAAACTCGGCCAGTTCTGCTTCAGTTTTGCTGAGGCGAATGGTATCAACACCACAGAACTGTATGCGTTGAACGCGTTGTTCAACAGCGATGGCAGCGGCTGTGAGACGCAGTTCTGGCCGGATTGGTGGTACTGCGTCGGTGTGGGTACTCAGGAGTAGCTCCGCAGGGCCAGAACTAGGGTGGCTTGAGGCAGAAAGCCGGATTATAGGTGTGATATATAGCACGTATGTAGGGTGGACCGTACCTACCATGATTTTCGATGTGTTTCTAGGTGGGCTTTGTGATTTCGTGCTCTCCACCACCGACACTCGTGTCCCCTGTTTGCACCATAGAACCCTAATGTTACGACGTGGCAAAAACAAATCAAGTCTCTCCGCCTTCGTTGCTCATCCCAGCAAAAGGAGGCCCTTCAGTCATACGGAAGCTCCCCCATTTTGCAAATCCCTCCATCTCCCACCCACTCCTCCAATAACGTAGTCACATCCTCCGGGGTCGTCCACCGCAAACCCCGTCCCCACGCGGCCTCCAGTCTCCTCACCGCAGGCTCCTCATCCCTCCCCTTTCCCCAAGGCGGTCTTCCAGGCCCCAGACAGAAGATGTGTAGGCCGGCTCCCTCCCCCGTAGTGGGCAGGTCTGCCTTCAGCCAGTTGAGCTTAGGCATGCGAGATAGCGCTTGCGCAAGGCTTCTAACGAGAGGATCGAAAAGCTCAGGCGCGAGGCGGCTACGGAAGTAGCGGATAGGGGTCTCGCCGCGCCCGACTGCCGCGTGGTAAGCGTGGTACGTATCGTGGACGCGCGAGTTGTCGCTGTCACCAGAGTTGCGCGAGGATACGCTTGTGGTGCTCTGGGAGTCATACGTGTCCGAGTTGTAATGAATGAGGTCCGCATCTGCGGGGTCGCCAGTGAAGAGCCAGTCGCCTGAAGGAGTCGTGCGGTTCAATTCGAGCGCAATAGCTTCAAGGTTCGGGTAAGTGGCCGGCTGAGCGATCGGCGTTTCCCCGGTGGAGAGAATAGGTCCGAAGAGGGATGGCGAAATGGAAATTTCACCAAGCAGCCTGAAGATCTGGAGACTTGGGATCTGGGATATAGCATAGAGGGCTGAGCTGAGGGGATCGTCGGTAGGAGAGAAGTTCGGGGGAATGGCGCTAGGGAACTCGAAGAATTCGTTTTGTGGCACCTCAAAGGGAAAGGATAAGCTGAAAGCCTTGAGCTTCGAGGCCTTGATAGCTAAGAGGGCTTGCGCAAAGTCTGATAAAAAGGTGTAAGCAGTTTCATGGGATACGCAGAAGGCTTTGCGTCTGCGTTACGCCATTCGTGCACAAAGTGAAAGTCTATACTACGATAACGGCTTCAGCTTCGGCTAGAAATGGATGACGAACATACCGTAACGACTCTGATAACGCGGGGGATCCGCTGGGGAAGCGGCATCCTCAAGCTCCCAATCGATCCTTTCTAGAGCTGGGAGCTTCGCGGCAATAGTTGCTACGGCGGCCGCAGCAATGTATCGGGTACCCACACAGGGATGTGGAAAACTGGTGATGCTCTCAACTGATGGTAGCTCTTCCGGCGTCAATAGTGACAGAGAGGAATGCTCAAATCGGTGCCACGTTAGATCGGTCGGTCGGTCTCGCTCCCTAAAGCCCGGATCACTAGGCGAGTAAGCACCTAGTCTTAGAGCAAACAGCCGCGTTCTCACAGCGTTCGAGTTCTCCCAGGAATGCAAGATCTCAAACAAACCAATAAGAGCATCTGTAAATGCTTTATTGTTCGTCTTCTTCTCCTTCTCATTTTCGAACTTAGCGCACCGATCGTCGGAGTAAGCTGGGAGCAAGATATGGAAATTTAGTTTCGCAAGGGCGCCTGCGCGATTGCTGGCGGAAAAGACTATGGCGAAGCGGTCAAGCTCGTCGCTCCGTACATGTGGCGAACAGAATGTGTGCCGTTCAACTGCAAATTGCCATTGTCGTGAGACCGTAAGCGAATTGATAAGATCCAAGGGCTCTAAGTAAGAGATAATAGCGGCAAGAAGTTCGGTTGACAGTCTGTCCATCACTATTAACTTGTAGATAGAGAGTGCACCTCGCGAATAGATCCGCGCTGGTGGAAATCAGCATACGAAGGCTTAGCAGGAACCTTCGGCGCCAACAAAGACACTCGGCTCGGCGTCGAATGCTGACAGGTGCTAGGTCTCGCCGAAAGCACATCAAGCCGCTTGCACCCTGTCTCAAGTATTTCTCCCTTGCTATCACGCTGAAGAGAAGCTTTCTAAGTTCTAGGCTATTAGGGATAAGGATATAGAGATCGACAGCCTTGAACGTGGCGTATTCGTTGCTATTCCAACGTTTCAAGGAATTGGGCAGCTGCACGTGACTTGATTATACAGGCTTTTGGAGACACCGCCGGAGGCCCGGATTAACACGCCTTGCATCGCTTATCAACGACTGCGCCCCTCGATATCGTCACCAGTATTAGTCACCCTCGTGGTCCGGTGATAATCGATTGCCATACTTACTATTCAAGGCTGACGTGAGAGTATCTGAGAGGGTCAAGTTGACATAGCGGTTGCCTAGAGCTCGCCCCACATCGCTACTGTTTCTTAGGGTGAGGAATACAATGCTTGTATCGAGCTGAAGCTAGGGCATTAGATTGGATACGGTCCTTCAGAAATCGGCCCCCGATGCTGTGTCTCCACCGAAGTAAGCTGACAGGCGTTAGTCGCTTAGCTACGTTAACTTATCTGTGCAATGAGCAAAGGGACTCGAAGATGTAACGTTATGGCTTTATTATAGACAGTTTACATCTTGTCTTTTGATGGCTGTTGTTTCTCTGTTCGCTATATCACTCCTATACCTATTCCAACTGTTCCAATCCGTCAAACGAACGTTATATTCTCAACAGCGAACTCGTACTCTACTACTTCGCTTTCACCATGACAGGATATACCGACGTCTCCATGTATGGCGCTACCCCTATGGCGCTTCCGCTGCTTCTTGGTGGGGTGGTGTTTTGGGTGTATTTGGTATATCGCTGGGCCCTCCCTCGCCCAATAGCTGGCATCCCATACAACAAAGACGCAGGCAACAGTATCCTCGGTGATGTCCCCGCAATGGTTAGCCATGTGTCGAGGACCAAGCAAATCTTCACGTGGCTCGCAGCGCAAAACGTCAAGCTTAATTCTCCCGTCGTTCAGGTCTTCTGCCGGCCGTTGGGGAAGCCTTGGGTGGTGATCACAGACTTTAGAGAGAGCCAAGACATCCTCATGCGACGAACCAAGGAGTTCGACAGGTCAGACTTCTTTATCGATATCTTTAGCGGACTTTTGCCTGATCATCACATCTGGTTGAAGACGAACGATACCTTCAAGGCCCACCGGCGGTTGTTGCAGGATCTTATGACCCCTGCCTTCCTGCACCAAGTCGCCGCACCTCACGTCTATTCCGCTGCCATGGACCTGGTCAAGCTCTGGGAAGAGAAGCTGAGATTGACGAAAGAACACCCATTCTCCGCAGCAGTAGATATATATCATGCTGCTCTCGATTCCGTGTGGGGTTTTACCTTCGGCACGGAGTCAGGAGTCAGCACGACCAAGGCTCAGCTCCAACTTGTCTCGTCGCTACAGGCACTCGATCTTCCTGCCGATGTCAGCAAACCAGCCAATGTCCCGAGCGGGCCAAATCCGCCGGCCTTCGACGCAGTCCTGACGCTCACCGAGAGTTTGGAAGTTACTGTGCGGTCGCCGCTGCCACGGCTTCACCACTGGTTCCTGCGACAACTGCCCTACATGCGCAGAGCAAAAGCATGCAAAGACAACATGATAGCCGACGAGCTGGCCAAGGCGGAGAGTCGCCTTACGCACGGAGCCGCAGCAGACCAGGGTGTGAGGTGCGCATTGGATGACGTTTTGCGTAGAGAATTCCTCGCTGCGCAGAAGGAGGGCCGGCCTCCTATGTACAACACGAGGACGATCTATGACGAGGTACTCAATTTTAGCTCCCATACACCTTCATTGCTAGATACGTTGACTAATCGATTGCCAGCTCTTTGGATTCATTCTCGGCGGTCACGAAACCACCTCCACCACCATCACATGGGCTCTAAAGCTCCTCGCGGACAGCCAAGAGGTACAAAAGAAGCTTCGCTCGACCCTCCGCGCCGCTCTCGGCACACCCGCAGTCGGGAATAGAAACCCCTGCATTCAAGAGATTACCAACACACAGATTCCGTACCTCGATGCCGTTATTGAAGAGATCGCCCGCTGCTCCCTCACCGCCTCCGGCAACGCGCGCTGCGCCATGACCGACGCCGAGATCTTGGGTCATCGTATCCCAAAAGGTACTGATGTCTTCCTTATGGGCAATGGGCCTAGCATTTTCTCCGCGCCGTTTGAGATTGATGAGGAGCTAAGGAGCGAGGGAGGTCGGGCCGCAAAGGGCAGGATCGGGTCGTGGGATCCGGAAGATATGGGGTTGTTTAATCCAGAGCGGTGGCTGACAAGCGATGAGGGTGGGAAAGAGATATTCGATGCTACTGCGGGACCACATCTGACTTTTGGACTGGGCCCTAGAGGGTGCTTTGGGCGGAGGCTGGCGTACCTTCAGTTGAGATTGATCTTGGTGTTGATTGTTTGGAATTTTCAGCTGCAGAAGGTGCCGGATGAGCTGGGCGGGTATGACGCTGTTGATAAAGTCACGCATCAGCCACAGCAGTGCTATGTTAGGCTGGAGAAGGCGGAGTAGAGAGGAGTAGGTGTCTTCCGCGTCGCAGAGCCTCTTTGGATCTACAGACACAGTGGTGCATTGCAAGCTCCCGGGAGGTGAGCTACAGCCCGACCGATCTTTGTATTGTTGTCCTTAAGGTTCGCGTTGATACGGCTTCCTTCAATACACTTGATATAAAACGAAGATTTCAAGAAATACTTTGAGCTTTGGCCCTCCGAGAGTTGCAGAGCACGGTGAGACCTCAACGGTGCCGCGCACAGTGAGAAGAGCAATATAGAGAGAGTATATACAAGAAAGCGTGGACAGCCGCTTGGAAGGGTAAAGGAGGGAAAGGGCGGAACGTAAGTAGCGTGCGTATAGGCCGGACCGAGGAAAACTCACTTGCAAGATCTGTTGATCTTTATTGTAAGAGATTAACTTACCTAGCGGTTTCAGTACTGGCTGTCCAGAAACCTCTCAGTTACTTCTTTACAAAACTTCTCTAACCCGGCGCCTCTAAGACCGTGCATGATCGCGTTATCCGGTCTCCACACAGCCCCGACCTCATAGTACACCCGCCTGACTCGGAGATCATCGTCACTCTTGTCTCCCCAATCCGCCGATCGACCAGGCGCGTGATAAGATATATGAAATCTACCTTTCCCACTACCAAGCTCAGAGGTGAGCTTGAAGTGTTCAAGAACCGGCATCTTCTGTACCGCCTTAGCGAGGGCGGCGAGAAGCTGATTGATTGTTGCCGGGTCGCCATGCTCACGGTAGTTTGTGTAGTTGGAATCGCTAGAGTCGTCGCCGATGATGCCCTCAGCCGGATCGTCGTCCTCGTGATCTTCTGGCCGCGGTCCCGTAAAATACCACTCACCAGAAGGCGTCACCATGTTGAACGTTAGGTCCAGTGTCTGCAAGAACGGCCAAATAGGAGCTACAGCCTTTGTCTCGTTGTCAGATGGCCAAAAGAGCGTTGATTCGAGGTGAGCGCTCAACGTGAGGGCCGTGAGACTTTGCGAAAACGTACGCAGGCCTGCACTGAACGGGTCATAGGAGAAACCCGATGGTATGAGAGATGGGCCCGTGAACCGCTGATCGAAAGGAATCTCGTGATAAAAGACGATCTCCGCAGTGGGGCGTTGTCGTAGTCGAGTTAGCTTGAGAGCCTCTACGAACGAGACCCGAGTGTCGCTTCGCACGCTGGCGGGCTGACTGTCGTATTCTCCAAACTCCCAAGATATGTCCCTCAGATTGGGGAGCGATGCTGCAAGATCTGGCCCGATGCTTGGCGCCAGCTTCCGCGAACTGTTGCGTCTGATGTTTAGATATTGCAAGTTCGGCAAGTTCGGTAATAGGCCAGGTTGAAGAAGCCGAAGGAAGGACCTTTCAAATCGACGCTCGAAGATGTCCTTGCCGCGCTTGCGCATTGCGATCTCAAGTTTGAGCTGCGGCTTATTATCCAAGCGTAGGTCCGTGGGCGAAAAAGCGTTTCTATACGGAAGCTCCAGTCGCAGCGCGGTCTGAACACCCTCATTCTCCCACACTTTCAAGATGGAGAAGAGGTTGCAGATGCCCCGAGTGAAGGACTCGTCATTGAGCCGCTTCTCGTCATCTGTTTCCACCCGACCGCATGCCTCCTCCGAGTATTCCGGTAGTAGAATCTTGTAGCTCAGATTGGTCAAATACTTGCGGCGGTTGCCCGTCATAATAGCATGAAAATGACTGAGCTCATCGCTTTTGATTCTCAAGCTGTGGAATGAAATCAGCTCAACTGCCTCCTTCCAGGATCTGGAGAGCGTCGCATAGGGTGGAAACTTTGAAGGCCCTCGGGACTGTTGCTGAAGCACGGGAAGTTGCGATTGTCCCTCGTATCGTTCTAGGTAATACACAATCCTGTTAATTAACTCTTGTGGTAGGTTGTTCATCGCGACATCGGGTGTTACGTAGGCGTTTCTGTAATTACAGCGTAGCGGTACGTACAGTCGAAGTCGGGATAGAAGGATAGGGAAGAAAGAATCTATAAGCCGGCTGCAGGCTTAAGTGTATATTATAGCTAAGGCGCTAGTAGGGGTTCGATCTCTAATCTATATACAAGTAGGGTATTACTATTTTCAGAAGTATTACTTCTAGGCGGAATATATTTTAAAGATTACGAAATAATATTATTAATATACTTAATAAAATAGGTTTTTCTGCTATATATTACGAAGTGAGACTTAGTGAAAATTAGCTTAAGAAAGAGATTTTCCCTATATAGTACTACTACACTTATGTAATTCATTACTATTTTATTAGAAGTCTAATTTATAGTAGTAAATAGTTCTATATAAGAGACGATATAGAATATTAGTACTAAAATATTTATACTCTATATAGCTTATATTATAGTTATAAAACCTATTAATATAAAATCTATTTAGAAAAGTTTTTATATTTACACTATATTAAGATATATTAGAAAGTATATTACTATAAGTAACTTTTATATAGACTTAGAGTAGATATTTATAATATATATTAAGATATTTAGTTAATAAGAGTAGTTAGAGTTAAGTTAGTAAGATAAGATATAGAGTATAGCTAGCCTGCTAACCTAGCCGACAGAAAATCGAGTATTCTACCCCTTATCTTTCGCAAGAAGTGCACTATACTTCTAGTTCCTAGCGGGTTAATTAGCTGCACCACCCCTACTTATAGGTACGTATAGGCCTAGATAAGCGTAATTAAATTACTATAATTCCATCTACCCTAATATAGTGAAAGAAAGTCTTTTCTTTCTTTTTTTTTATATAGTCTAGGCTAAAAGGAATATTATAAGGCTTCTATATATTAACTATATATATTTTTATTAAAAGAATAGAGGCTTTTATATATAATTCTAAATAGCGGGTGCTTATCTATATAGAGTGCGGGTTCTATTTACTACTAAAATAAGACTTCTAGAAGTAATACCTTAGAAACTAACTATATTAAATATTTAGATAATAGCTAAAATCTTTAATTAAACTTTTCTCTACTTATAGACTACTTACGCTAGACGATATCTACTATTTAGCTAAAAAGATTATCTAGGTAATTAATAGGCTTAAGTAGTATAATTGCTTCTATTACTACCTCTACTCTAAAAGGCTTATATAAAGCCTTAAAACTATTAAGAATTATATATTGTAGGTGTATAGCTAGAAGCCTTTAGAGTATAATAAGCTAATCTTATTATAGGCTAAGTATAAGCTCTAGACCTTCTTTATAGAGATATAGTATATTAAATATTTTATAATAGAGAAAGGAGCTATAAAGTCTACTAACTTAAAGTCTACGACGCTAGTAATAGAAGAGGAGGAGTTTTTCTACTAGTAGAATAAGAATCTAAGGTAGATAGAGTATAATATAGCTAAGGAGGCTAATAAGATATATAGTTTTAATAGCTATAAGTCAGTAGTTATACCTTAGCTAAGAAGAACTAGTATTATAGAGTATATTTAAGACCTAAAAAAAATAAAATTTTAGGCTTTAATTACTCTACCTAAGGATAGCGACTAGGAGCTAGAATTAGCTACTATACTAAAGGAAATAGAAGCTATTTTATAAAAAGCTTATAGCTAGTACTTCGATAGGCCGGACTATATATTAATATAGCCTTAATAGGTTATTCTAAACTACTTCTAGTCCTCTAAAGTAGAGCTACTAGGGAAGACTTAGGCCTTTAATCTAGATAAAGAAGCTAGTATACTAGTAGCTTACTTTAGCCTATAGAAGTAACTCTTAGCCTATATATACCGTATAGTTAACCGCAATTACTTTATAATAGAAGAAAGCTAGAAGTAGTAGTATTAGAAGCAAAGTAAGCTAGAGGATATAATCCGTCTTAGTAGTAAGTAGTAGAATGCGTAGAAAGAGATACTATAGGCGGCTAGTATAAATAACGGTCTAGCCTTAAAGAGGGTGTTAAAGACGCTATATATACGGCTTATCTACTATAACTTTAGCGGTAAGTAATACACCTCCCTATTAGTAAGCTTCTGCGTAATACTTAGCGTGAAGCTATTAATATTAGGCTAGATACGGCTAGAAGACTATAGCAGCCACCTATTAGGCTTAATCTAGGTAGTATAGCTACTTATCTTCTACTATAGCGCCAACTAGGAACTAGCGGGCTTAGAGGATGCGCTAAAGCTAATTAAAAAGATCTACAAGAAGTTCCTATAGTAGATAGCTAAGTCTCCTATAGGCGAGATCTTGCGGTGGCGGCTGCTGCTGCTTAGGATCTCTAAGGACGACGTCGGGGCTCACCAAGCGCGCTGGGATGAGGATAAGCAGATCCTAGAGATACATGCGCGAATCCACCCAGCCCACACCCCATTCACTCCGACCTCTGATTCGCTCGCTTATTTCCAGTCTTCAGCCCCCGGCTGCCCCCTTCGTAATCAAGACTTTTATCGCCGGGCTGGCGGGGCGGACCGAGACCTCGGGTATTATAGCTATTCTAGTATCCAAGGCTGAGCTTGTGCTCGTGGCCGTTCCAGTGCCTAAGGCTAAGCTCATGGAAGCCAACCCTGTTGCATATGTGGTAGCCCAAAAACGGTCGTTGGCGCATCAGCTCTGCAGCTTATCTTACTTTGGCCTTAGTCTCAGGATCTCAGTCGCTTGCGGTCATGCTAGGCGCCCGTATGCTAGGCGACTTACTTCGGGCTGCACAGCCACATGTCAAATAATCTCATTATCCTGCCCTTTTAACGTAAGCGACGGTGTGATGCAACAAAACTTTGAAAAAGCCCGAAACACTTCAACTTACTGCGCAATGGACCACAACACTCGCATGACCAAAGCGATAGAGGATTTGCAGTCGCAACAGTCTCCTAAATATGCCGCGGCTGCTAGAGAATGGAAAGTGGACAGATCGACGCTGTGGCGACGATACAAAGGCGAAACAGGCACGATCCAAGAAGCCAACTCCTACGCGCGCCAGAAGCTCACGAACGCGCAGGAAGAGGTGCTTATTGGGCATGTGAACAAGCTTATAGATCGGGGCCTTCCGCCGACACAACAGATGGTTAAAAACATTGTAGAGGAGATTGCAAAGACTAAGCTTGGTGTGCACTGGGTTAGCCGCTTCTACCAGCGACACCGTCAATGCCTCACTAGCGTGTACCTACGGACAATCGATTATAAGCGCAAAGTTGCGGATAACCCGTAGTACTTCCGAGAGTTCTTTAAGATAGTTAGCCTTCTCCTAGCTGCGCTATAGCAGCGTCCAGGCTGCTTTTAAGGTGAGAGACTGACCTATTTTACCTAGCTCCAAGAAAAGATACAACAGTATAACATCAAGCCATCAAACATATACAACTTTGACGAGAAAGGCTTCTTGATCGGCTTGTTAAAGTCTGTAAGGCGTATTGTCGCTCGTGAAGCGCTGGAAAGCGGACGGCTGCTTGGTGCAAGTTAAGATGGGAGCTGGGAGTTTATCACGCTTGTTGCCTCCATTTGCGCCGATGGAACACGCATTCCACCGGCACTTATCTATAAAGGCGAGTCGGGCGACTTGTAGGACTCGTGGCTTGAGGATTTTAATGATGTACAAGACTTGGCATTCTTTGCTAGCTCGGAGAAGGGGTGGAGTAGCGAAGTACTAGGGTTATAGTGGCTGGAGCACGTGTTTGACCGCAACACGAGGCAAAAGGCAGCAAGAGGTCGACGCCTACTTATTGTAGACGGCTATAATAGTCATCTGAACCTCCGCTTCATCGACTACGCGGATCGCAACCGAATCCTTCTCGCTGTTCTCCCGCTACACTCGACTCACAGGCTGCAACCTCTCGATGTAGGCCTGTTTGCACCTCTGGCGACATACTACGCGTAAGAAGCAGATGCTTTCCTCACAAGCAGCCATGGCCTTACTCGTATAGCAAAGCGGCAGTTCTGGAAGCTGTTTCGCGAAGCATGGAAACGCGCATTCACGGAAGAAAACATCAAAAGCGCTTGGGAAGCGACGGGGATACAGCCGTTCAATCCCGAGCGCGTGATTGCCACAATCACGCAATAGAGCACCACACCCGAGCCGCAACAAGTGAGGACACCAAGGTCAGCACGCTCCATACGCCGTATGTTTAACCAACTGCAAAAAGAGGGCCATGTTACCGCAGGGGCGTCGCCTCTACTTCGCGCAGGCGAGAAGCTAGCCACCGAGAATGAGATCCTACGCCATGAGATACAAGGCTTACGGAAGGCAATAATGGAAGAGAAGAAGAAGCGTAAGCGAGGAAAAGCGATGGGCTTGCTTGAAAAGGGCGAGAATGCTGGCCAGCCGTTGTTTTTCAGTCCTTCAAGGGTTGGGCGAGCTCGCCAGCAAGCAGCAGAGGAAGTAGAGGCGGAGCGTCAACGCAAGCAAGCTATACAAGATCGGAAGCTTTAATCGGCTAGGGCACGGGCAGAAAAAGCGCGTGAGAAAGAGGAGAGGAAGGTAGCGCGTGTAGCGGCACGCGATGCAGCAAAAGAAGAGCGGGCTCGTAAAAAGGCCGAACAAGCAGCGGCAAAAGCAGCGTAACAAGCAGCCAAGCTTGCATAAGCTGTGAAAGAGCGTCAAGAGGTTAGTATAGGGCAGCAGCATAGCATAGCAGCGAAAGAAGCGAAAGAAACCGCTGCGAAGTCTAAGAAGAGGCGCTTGGTAGAGGAGGAGCCGGTTGCACCTCGAAAGAGGCCTTGCGCAAAGCTTCCAGCACATGGCAGTGAGCAAGAAGCAGGCGTTTCGAGAATCACGCTAGGTTCTCTAGAGCCTGAACCTTATAGCGAAGTAGTTTCTAAGGTGAACCCTTCTCGTTCTGCTCCACGCCAGCAAGATGCAGGCTGGACACTGGTTTTGTAGAGGTCACGCTCCGGGCGTAAGATAAAGCTTCCCACACGCTATTAATCATGTATATAGTTGATAGATTGCTTCCGCTGGCGCTATTATATATTATTACTAGGTTTGAAGCCTATGTAGTGACTAGTTGCATTGTTGTGTTGGTTACTGTGCGCTGCGCGAGTTTTGGCGTTTTGTTGCATCACACCGTCTGTTGCATCACACCGTCGCTTACGTTAATCGTCGAGTAGGTAGATGAGGCTCGACGCACTGGATACAAGTACTTCAGCCGCTCGAAAATAATGGCCAAGACGTCCAATTTAATGCCTCAGTAATCCAAAATCGCGGTGTATAGCATACTCACTGCTTTTGTAGGAAGGCTCCACGCTCAACGCTGCAAGCTGTCGCATAAAGCTAGACTTCCGGTTCTCGTAGGCGAATCGACACAGCGCAATTGGCTGCAGTTTCGGGTCTTGAAACTGTTGCAGCCACAACACTAGGTCCATCACTGGAAAGTGGATGAAGTCAGCCATCTCAACTCTGAGGGAAACAGTGAGTACTCTGGACTGGGAAGAGGGCTTTCCAGACCTACCGCCATCTGGTTCTCTTCCAACAAGATTCCTAGAGCATTTTCTGAGCAGCGGACGCAGATGGTGCCCGTATTTCTTGATTCGTGGGGTCGCAAAGCCTATACACTCTTCGGCTATACTCTCCGCGTCTCTTTTCAGCGCTGCTGGAGTGGTTGAAATACGCTTCAGCTTTACTAAAAGGAATTCCAGGAAAGGAACAACTTTCTTAGCTGGGCAGGTATTTACGGCGACCCAGAAGACATAGCGTTGCGGCGTGGACTGCAGTCCGATGGCGGTGACAGTATCGCCGCCTTTGTCATAATCGCACACGTATGCACAGCTGATGAGGCACTCTTTGGGGGTAGGAAAGCCGTTGTCCTGACAGTCTGTGCCGCAGTTGATAAAGTGGTTGTCCTTATAGTCTAGACATTCCGTAAGTCCCTTAGTATCGACACAGCTATCGGTACTTGGCCGAACGGGAACATTTGCGATACTCAAAGCTAATAAACTGCTTAGCATTAGCACGAATAGTAAGAAAGACATCTTTAAGATTGACAAAAGTGTAATAGAGAGAAAGAGGCTCGTTATCATAGATAAACATGTAGATATTTTAGAGTAAAACAGCAATCGTGATCGCTGCTAGAACGCAATGTCTTTAATTAATCAAGCATATCGCATTCCTAAACGCTTCACCCCTTTTAAGCCTAAGTATGCCTTGCGTGGCGCTTAGCGATCAGCTATCACGGCTAGCGTGCTGCAAGGCACTAATATACGACAATAGCACAAGGAATAAAACCATTAGTATATACGATCGATCCTAATGCGGCGATAAAGTCGGCGACACAAGTTGATGAGCCCTCTTCTAGCTCAGCAGGTTAACCAAAGTAGCCGGTGAGACGGGGAGCTCAAGTCGCTTAAGAGGTCAGCATTCAGGGTAAAGCGGCTTAGCAGATAACTTTCTCGTATTTAAGCTTGGCTTTCAGCCATCTTTGCACAAAAACAAGCTCGATTTAGATTGTCAAGCTCTATCGGAGATTTGTAAACGCCACCAGGGGTAAGCTTGCTCGAAAGATCTAATAAGCTGAAAGGACTATGCTTTCTAAAATGCCATACATCGTCTCTCGCCCTTCTAGTACATTATAATATACATAACACTACACTCGGGTATTTAAAGTTCCTGCGGTTCCTTAGCAAGTAGTACACACTATAAATAGGGTGTGGCCCTCCCAAGTCAGATGCTCTATTTAATAGTTAAGGCTCGAGCCGCGCGTAGGTAGTCGTGCTATTATAGGTTAAAGTGGAATAATGCGAATCATCTGCTATTTCCATCCGGAACTAGTCATTCCAAGTGAAGGCGTTTCCGGCTATAAAAGAGGCTAAGGCATCATCGCTCCCTAAAAGACTGTTAGTGCCCACGATAAAGAGCTGCTAGGGTTAGTATTCTAACCACCAGCTTAGAAAGGTTTAATAGCGCACTCACCGCCAACGGCAGCGTAAAGACTAAAAAGCTTTCCCTATCTACATAATTGCGTTGCTTAGCCTAATACAGCAGCTCTTTCGCCACCTATCCGCAAGCGAATCCGTACACGTAGCTTAGTAGGATTTAGTAACACCAAGTCTTATAGAACCACATGCTAATAGCTTTTCCTGCGGTATACCCATGCGAACCCTTCCTAATATAAGTAATCAGATACATCGGAAGAAACAAGAAGGGGTATCTAAGATTATCATTTACTCCCAACTTAGCAATAACAATCCTTTATAGCGCTTTTGGAATATGCTTGTCGGCAAATCTCTCTTTCAGGATGGAGTTCGACAGGATCGGGTCTGTTAGTGTGACACATGCTCCGACAGCCAAGGCGTACAAGAAAGTCAGATTTGGCATCATTGCCCAGACTAGCATGCTAGTGATGAGCCACATCACAATCATTCCAGGGCCTAGAAGGTAGGCCAGGCTTTTCCATTCTCTTCTTAGATGTCTTTCCAGTAGTTGTATGCCGGCAATCACTAATTGAACCCCTAGTACGAGTCGGCAGAAGTATGAATTGACTTGATCCAAGTTTTCTTCATTATCAAGTGAATACTCCTTGGGTCGTACCCACTTCGCCGCGGGCCCAAGCAGCACCCCTGCAAGAAGTGATATCACTAAAAGATATCCATTTTAGTAACGTATTTCACAAGCGAGTCGGACACCCAAGCGAACCGGACACTCCCTCCACTAAAACGCGTCCATCGTGACAACACCCTACAATGCCACCCAGCCGTCGATGTAATGACCATAATAAGCTGGCAGAGAGTTATTAGCTATTCAATCGATCAAACATAAACAAATCAGGTCGTACCGAGCCGCCGATAGCGCGTACGACGTCCCTAAATCCACCCTTAACGATAGGGCTCAAGATGGCAGTGGCAGATGGAAAGAGCGACGCTGGCACCTCAGCACGAACAAAGAGGTAGTGGACGCCGAACTGTACGCAATTGCAGAGGCGCTAAAACCGGGGCGGGGATGGCGATTTCGGCTAGAGACACGCGTCATCATCTTCACCGACTCCTAGGCAGCGCTCTAGCGGATCATAAAAGGCGTGAGTAGCGAAGCAGGAAAATAGCTTATACGGAGGCTCGTAGAGCGCACGGAGAACATACGACGAGCTGGTGGATAGGTGACCCTTTGCTGGGTACCAGCGCATAGTGGAATTAAGGGTAACTAGCGAGTAGACGAAGCAGCGAGAAGCGCCGCGGGTTAGGTTAGAATAATACCGCAGAGCGATAGGCTCACAACGCTGGCGTATATAAGCAAACGCTGCGCCGAGAAGGCCTAGCGAAGCGCGGACGAGTGGTTTAGGTAGTGGTAGAGAGCGGAGTATAAGGATGAGTAAAGGCCTAACCGCATAGCCATAAAAGCGTCGAAGCCCCTTGCGACCCGCTTCTACCAGCTTCTACTAGCTGAAGCTGGGCACTCCGCCCAGTGCGGTGTATCTCCGTAGGCTGAAGCTTCGGGATAACGACACATGCTGGGACTGTGGGAGAATGAGGATGACGGTTAAGCACTCGATGCGTGACTGCTCGCGGTGGAAGGAGGAAAGGAAGGTGATGTGGCAGGAAATTAAGGCAGTAGGAAGCGTAGCGATGGAAAGGAGCCGGCTAAAAGACGTCTTCGCGGACTACAAGACGACACCAGCGATTCTGAAGTTCCTTACCAATATAGGGGTAGGCCGGAGACAGCGAGCGGATAAAGAAGAGGCTAGGAATAGAGAGGAGGACAAGATTAGAGGGTGGGTGGAAGAGGAGGAAGGCGGAGCGGAGGAGGGCGAGCATGATGAGTGGACGCAGAATAGAGGCTTAAAGCCGGAGAAGGTAAGGAGCAGGGAGCAGGGAACCGCATACGGTAAGAGGCAAGAATATAGGCTTTAGAACATACACTTTACTGTCATAGGCGACAACGCCTAATTAGCTGGGACAGGTACAGCTGAATACAGAATGATTAAAATAAATAAAAATAAAAGTAGTGCCAAGACCGTGTGTGCACGGGCCACATGAATCGCCCTACCAGCCTAAGTGATAGAGTTATCACTAGTTTTGGCGGGGAATGCTAAGAGCTTGGCAATTAACAACAATTTTTAAAACGGGAGTGACTAAGGTCGTAAAAGTATAATTGCACTAGCGACATTTGACGATTTGGCTTATTTCCCTTTCAGGAATCTTCACACTTCTAAATAGTACTATCACCTGCCGACGCTGCCCTCTAAAAGTAGCGGCTAGGCCCGCCGTTATTAGGATTAGGAATGTAACCGAGACCTAGCACAATAATAGCTAACCACGTTTGATTCAAGAACTGTATTTAAGATGAACGTCTATGATTCTAACTTTAGGCTTAAGGATAGATAGAGTCTAGTGGACGCCATCCCGTCCATTATGTTGACTACTTATCCCGAGCGTTACAATTTGGCGCTCACTTCTCTCACTCTGAAATATGCCGTTAGTATACACGTCATAGTCCCCCTCTAATGCCCATCGCTTTTAGTATAAGAATCCTCATCGCTAAATATAGCCTTCTCCTTACCAGAAAAGGTGTAGACGGCCCCGTGTTATGCCACCTTATAGATGTTATTGCTATATCGCACATAAGCTACGCCAAGCTCCGTAGCAAGATTTGCCGCGAGTTGTGACTATGTTTCGCTAAGGACTTTGATGTGGCAGTCGCGCATTTTCGGTCCGTTTCGGCTCGTGTGGCTTCCGTGCCAGCTGTGAAACACAGGAACAAGATCCGCCATCTAAAGAGCTAAAGACTATGGGTGGAACTAGGTTATTAGGAGAATATGTGTAGACTCTATAGGTTCCTGTCTAGCGTCTTAAGAGATATTATGAGGTGACTTTAACACATTAACTTTAAGCCGTGAGAACACATGGACAGATAATATACTTATAGCCTTAAAATCGGAGCCACTAGACCGACTTTGGGCAACAACTACCATTAAGCAGACGAACGCTGAAGACGAAATTGATTCAGCTGAAGCCAAGGAATGGCTGAAGCCAAGCAATGGATGAAGTCTAGAATCGGCTGTAGATTCAGCATCGGCAATTTGGAGCATCCACTGGTCACAATTTCGGGCAAGAACAGTCAAAGAGCCCTGCATGAGCATAATATTTCTTTATCATTACGAGAGACTATAGCCGTGAGGGTATTAAATCGTGTAGACAACTCCCAATCGTGGCACTAGCTACGTCAGTTACAAGACGAAGAGCGAAACTTAGCTGCTCGATCGTATCTACTCTATCGGCGGAAATGCGCATTGGATAACAAGACCACTACTACGAGGCTAGACAAGAGAGTTAAATAGGGGTTCTAATTAGCTGCTAGATATCCGCATGGTAGTGAGAGGCCGTGATACCGTAAATAAGGCCGTTTAGCGGTATCGCCGCAGCTCCGTAGGTAGTTGCTAGTTTATATAGATAATTGAATAAGGTTCTTTTAAAATAGCGGCTATATAGACCTCCGAAGCTCCCTCACCGTGTATGCTAGGCGTCCTTACATACTTATTATTATAAAGCTAGATATAGCATCCAGGACACCTCCACTACATTCAGTGAGGTTATAGTGGTTTTGAATTTACTTTACGATCTTTAAGCGATCTTCTAGCCTTTATATTATTAGCTTTAGAATACTCTATGTACTATCTACTAATATAGTTTACAAGCGAGCTAGCACCCCTAAGCGAGCTGGCAGCTCTACTAAGCTGCACGCCTTTACATGCAAATAACTCAACACTATAATAAGCTACTATCTTTTATAAAGTGTTAATATATTACTTAGACTTATTACTATCTTCTATATCTATAGTTCCTACTTTATAGATGCGAGCATTGTGGCTAGTCTCGCCGCAACACCTATAGTGCCTCTCCCTACAGGCCCTCTTTATAGGCTTCCCACCCTCCTCCTACCCACTAGCCTCCTTAGAAGCAATTAAATTAAGTACATCACTAATAGTTAGTGTATTCTCTATTCAAATATACTTCCTCTTACGACTTTTACGCTCTATTACTACCTTAGCTACCTTTTAAAGCCTAGCTATTTCCTTACGTGTTAATACTATTTCATGTGCTCTCTATTAAGCGCCCTTTCTAAACCGATTAACAGCTTTAATAATAGAAGTAGGTGAAGAGCTCTTATACTATCGAATCTAATCGCGAATAAGTGTTAATTAAGCCTCTATCTTACAGGCGTTACTTAGTGTTTTAGATTCTTATAGGGTGTCCTCTAGTATAGAAGGTATAGGCGTACGAAGCTTTATATTAAGCTTTAATAATACAGCCTCTAGGTTATATAAAACCAGCCTAGCGCCCCTAAAGCTTATGCAGATATTCTCTTTTATAAGTGCCTTATTAAAAGCTACTTTAAAGGCTAGTAGGAAGGCCTCTTTCTTTATATACTTAGTGTTATACCATGCTAAGCTATTAATCTTATCTCTATACGCCTGCTTTAAGGGCGAGAAGCAGCTTATATTAAGCGGCTATAGTAGGTGCAACAAATAGGGAGGTATATAGAGAATAATAATATTCTTCTTCTTATAGATTTTATGGAGTTCGTACGTATTATAGCTCTTATAGCTATTAATAATTAGCAGCTAGTGTGTCCCTATACTACGCGCCTTTATATATACGTTAAAGTACTTTAACCACGCAATAGTAAGCTCGTTTAATATCTAGCTATTAGGGCCGACCTTAATAACCTAGTTGCGAGGTAGATTATAGAACTAGGAGATTATAAGAATCTTACTAGCGAAGATAATAAATAGTGGAATTATCTACCTAGCTACATTAATTCCCTAGATTACTAAAACCCACTCGCGGTTATCTAGTTGTATCCTCTTTAGTTTCCTACGCTTCTTAGAGCCTATAAAGACTATCTAACCCTTAATCTAGCCTATTATAAAGTCTATCTTATTGAAGTTATATATATTTTTATCTAGAATACTATACTTCTTCTTAAACGTCTTAAAGAGCGTAAACTAGGGGCTTATAACACATAAATCTTCGTTAAAGGCTTACTAGTAGTTATATAGATAGCTCCTTTAAAGCTTTATCTTAGGTGTGCGCTTCGTAAAGTTATCTACCTAGTACTTACTAACTAGCTCTTTACCACGCTCTACTAGTAGATTACTAGCTATATCTTAAACTATAGCTCTTATAGCCCCAACTTCTTATAGATTTAGGCTAAATATGTATCTAATAATTAACTCCTTTTTAAGTTTAGTTAGTCTCTTTAAATTAGGCTCGCGATTGCATCGCAATAGCGCTTTAGTATATTAGACTTAGAGGGTACTTTAGGGAATATTATAGACTACTATAGCGCGTCTTTTACTCTCAATCTTATTTTACTTAACAGCTAAGATAGTAAGCTATAGCACTCCTTTAGTATAGGTCTTTTATATATTATGTCGTTAAGGCATCACGGTGAAAAGCTAATAGGTGCAGAATCTTAGTAGAGCTACTAGCTCGCTTGGAGGTGCCAGCTCGCTCATAAACTATATTACCTCTAAATTCTATTAAGTAAATTCTTATCTTGAATAAATATACTACTAATGTATTTTATAAGCGAGCGCCGCACTCAAGCGAGCGCTATAGTATTACTAGCGTTATACCTATATAGCAACTTTACATAATACTATAATAGATTATAGTACTTTATAGAATATTATAATATTATTTAAAAGCGCTACTATTATCTATATCTTCTATTTCTACCTTATAGGTATAGGAATTATACCTATAATAACTATAGCGTCTCTCTACACGCACTCTCTTTATAGGCTTCTTACTATTATTATAACTACTATACTCTCTTATAGTAATTAAATTAACTATCTCTCTAACTATTAGAGTCTCTTTTATCTATATATATCGCCTTTTATAGCTTTTACACTTTATAGCTACCTTAGTTGTATCTTATAGGCGTACTATCTCTTTACATATTAGCACTATCTTATATACTATCCACTAAGCGCCTTTAGTAAGCTATCTAACCTACTTATTAATAGAACTTACTAGAGACCCCTAATAGTTTTATATATAATTTTAAACTAGTATTAACTACACTTCTATCTCGCTAGTATTACGTAGTGTTTTTAGCTTCTAGGCGATATTATTAGATTATAGTAGAGTTAGTATATGTAGTTAAATATTAAGCTTTAATAGCACTACCTCTAGGTTATATAGAACTAGACTAGTACCTCTAAAGCCTACACGGACGTTCTCTACTATAAATACCTAACTAAAAGTAGCTCTAAAAGCTAGTAGAAAGATCTCTTTATTAATATAGTAGATATAGCTATATACTAAGACCGAGATCTTATTGCTATATATACGCTTTAATAGTAAGAAGTAGGCGATATTAAGTAGCTGTAGTAGATATAATAAATGCGGAGGTATATAAAGAGTAATTATCTTCTTCTCTTTATATTAATTCTAGAAATTAACTAAATAGTGGCTCTTATAACTATTAATAATTAGTAGCCTATACACTCTAATAGACTTCGCATACGTGTTAAAGTGTTTAAGCTAAGTAAGTGCTAGATTATTATTAGTCTAGCTAGTAGGGCTAACTTAAATAACCTAATTCTATAGTAGGTTCTTAGTAAACTAGTTTAAAATAAGAACCTTACCTATAAAGATAAGAAAGGGTAGAACAACACGCTCTATTACTCTAATACCTTATACTAGAGTAATCTACTTGTAATTACTAGATTATAGCTTCTTCTATTAACTAGGTTTCTCTAAGCCTATAACTACTAGCTAAGATAATATCTTGCCTATTAGGAAGCTAGACTCGTTAAAGTTATATATATTTTTATTAATAATACTATACTTTGCCTTTATATTCTATACTAGTATAAACTAGAGCTATATAATTGCTAGATCCTTATAGGTAGCTTACTAGTAATTATATAGGCGGGTCTATCGTGTTTATAGCTTAGGTAAATACTTAATAAAGTTATTTACCTAATTCTTACTAGTAGAGTTGCTACTACGCTCTTAGAGTAGCTTATTAGCTATATCTTATATATTTACTTCTAATAGTGGTAATCTATATAGGCTTTTATTAAAGATATACTATATAATCGCCTCCTCTTCTAGCTTTATTAGGTGCTTCGAATTTAGCTTATAATTATATTAATAGTATATTCTAGCGCGTCGCTATCGTATTATATATTTAGAGACTTTATAAATTAACTTAGCGTATTACACGCTTTAAACTTATTAGGATTTAATATTAAAGATAGTAAGCTAGATGTTATCTTTAGTATAGGCTCTTTAGGCTTTACATTATTATAGTATTTTATGTAGTTATTATATAGGCGTGGTTCTAGCGATACTATAGCGCTCGCTTAGGTGCGGCACTTACTTGTAAAACACGTTAATTATTATATAATTATTTTACTAAAGAATACCTAGTTAAAAAGATACGAAAATGCCTCTATTCTTTTTTACTACTAGGAACGGCACTTAGATAGCCTAGCTAGTAGTTATAAGAGTATTTTAATATATATAAAAGGCACTTTTAGAGTTTTAATAAGTTTATAGCTTTACGCTTGTATACGCTAGTAGTTTAAAGCCTTATTTAAGCTATAAAGTATTAGAGGTAAAGATTTTCGTATTCTGCTAAAATTCCGATACATTATACAACGAACAATATATTCCACGCATTTCTTAGCACTTTTAACCCTTAGGTGTGCATAACTGTCAGTCTTTTACTAGCCATCCTGATCTTCGGGAACACTGCCAATTGCCATGCATAACGAATAGTGCCCAAAAGTACGGAGCTGGACGCTTCTTTCGAACTTCCAGCGCTGCGTTACGGAGTGCTTTTGCGATATCAACCAGGCTGTCCTTTCCAGGATCGGGCGATGTCTCTTTGATTTGCAAGAGCATTCCATCGTAGAAAGCTTCCGTGAACTCTTTGCCGGCTGAATCCGAACACCTCCATAAGGTCCCAACAGCGGCATTGGTTCCTGCTAGAAGAAGCATGGGTAGGAGCCCGATCGGCTCCTCTCCAATCTGGATATCCTGCTGCGCTGACTCGCAAGCGATCATAACAAACAGTGTGGCGACCAGACGGAGAGACAGGATAATTCTAGCTGTGAGTGGAGTATCGTTCATCTTGAAAGCAGAGCTAAGCGGATCTTCTACTTTGAAGTACGCATGGCCGTGGTAGTGGAAGATCGCTGTACTGCCGGCTTTGTCCTCAAAGGCTGATTTCGTTGCCGCCGAGCCGAGCAATGGTTGCGTGTTGAACCGTTTGGAAACGGCGTTGACTGACTCTTCCGCTGCCGCCAAGTCTTCCTTAGGATTCCCGATTATGGTCACCTCACGACCGTTATCGGAGCGGTCCGAACGACGAAGCAAGCAATGTTGCAGCACCGCGAGACTGGAAGAGTACACGACTGGATTGCGCTCTAAAATCAGGTTGCCATCGATCTGAAGTGCATGGAGAGGGAGAGCACCAAGCATGCCGGCCGGGCAAAAGATCAGTAGCTCCTCCTTCTTTGATGCCGTTGCTAAAGGTGCAACCAAGGCGTCCAATTTCCGCATCCGGTCATTTGCGTTAGGCCTCCGCAATGCCTCAGCTTTGAGGTTCCCTTTGATCCATGAAGAGACCTTCCCTAGGCTGATATCGAGTTCATGGGCTTCTGGCTGTTCTCCGGCCCGAACTGTGAACATCCAAATAGACTCGCCTACCATAACCCAATCTACGCAAATGGCATCCTTCTGTGGTCCAAACATTCCTTCCAAACGATCTAGGGTGAGAGTTTCGGCGCCGCGATACAGAAGTAAGTCGTACAGCTCCGGCATTGCTGCCATCCGGCGACGAACAGCAGCGATTTCCTGTCGAATTTGGAGACGTCTCTCTGGCGGCGTAATGCTGCACCTCTGTAACAGTGCTATCTCTTCTTCCCACAGCTCTTTCGCCTCTTTGTTCTGGCAGACAGTATCCATTACTTGGCATGGAATTTGGGCTTCGAAACCCAAGAGGTCCAAGAATGCTCTTGTCTTGCTCTTTTGTGTCCACCACCAGGCTCTACTTGCATCACCTTTCTTTAAGCACAGTTCTATTCCCAACTTATAGATGTCAGCGCTTTGAGTCACAACAGCACTTTTGTGAGTTAAAATTTCCTCGTCTTTCCGGATAGTCGCATCCATCCGGATTTCATTTTGAATGTCTTCCGCCGCTTGCAGCTCCTCTAGCGCATAATCAAGAGCTTTTGGCTGCCCAAGGTGATACGCTCGCTGCCACACCCAGGCCTTCTGGAGACGGCATTTAGCCAGTTGCAGTCTGAATCCGTACTTCAGCAGTGACTGTTCAACCTGCTCAAAACCTTGCAAGGATTCGTTGAGAATCGATTTTGTGTCCACAGTTTCGTACTGGGCATCGGATAGTCGTATTTAGGAGATGATTGTCAGCATCTTTTGGGCTTCTCGATGTTTTCCGTCTCGTTGAAACAGCAGGTGAGCTAGTCGCAGAGTCTCTATTGCTGCGGTACGCTGGTCCAGCAGAAGTAATGCGTAGAAGGATTTGAACTTGATCTCCGCAATTGCTGACGTCTGCTCCCGCTCTGGAAGCAAGTTCACTAGACCCTCGGCTTGCTCGAGCCAAGCAAGACATCTTCTTGACGCCTCTCGCTTCTCGACGTCCTCGAACCGGTTGGCCCGCAGGATCTCTACATTGGAGAGTAGTCCATATTTGTCCATCTGGTTCTCAACGTTGCCCATCTGGCGGTTCTTCTCTGCCCAGGTGATTAAGAAATTGATCAGCTCTTCGAAGCCCGACCGGTATGGAGAATGCCTCAATCTTTCTCGTTTGGAGAGTATGATGGACTTTGCCGCCTCTGATCCCAAGTTACAGTCTTGATATTCTTCCGCTATGTCGAGCGCTCGCTGACCCCACTCCACACTCTTGTCCCAGTCTCTACGCTGCGCGTAGTCTATCGAAAGCTGTATTGCACAGAACCCTGCCAAGCGGAAAACCTGGAGAGTGTTCGCCCTTGAGTATAGGGCCTGAAACCCTTCGATCGTGGCGTCAATTTGGTCGCCTTGCATGCTGGATAGACTAAGGACGCCGACTTGGTGATGACACCATTGGAGGAGAGATCCAGTCTGTTCGCATAGATCCTGAAGCTGGGCCTGGACTCGACTGAACCCTGAATAATCTCCCATCGTCCGATGCAGTGAAGCTAAGCGGAAAAGCGTTTCTGCTTCCCTTATTGGGCATTCCAAAGCTTTGAAAGACCTCGCAAGCTGCTGAAGCGTGTTCATATTTGCTTCCGTGCTCAAACCTTGATCCAACTGCTGTGTTACTTCCTCGAAGTCGACCTCCGCTTGTTGTAATCGCTGGGACGAGATCGGTATAAGTGAACGTGCGAGATGGAGTAGCTCGGCTGCTTTGCGATAATCGGCTTGCGATCTTGCGATCCGCGACCGTTCCAGAGTGACCATTCCTTTGAGCCAGCTCTGCTCTACTCTCGAGCAGAATCTTTGAAGCTCGCGATCCGCTTCTGACAGCTCGAGCATGAACAGTCGGTAATGCAAAAGGTCGAATGACTGCATGTGCATCCCAGCTTCGTGCGAGCGGTTTTGAAGTTCGGAAATCCGAGATCAGAGTAGCTGTCTGTATCCGGTACCAGCAGTGGAGTACTTAGCGTACTTTTCGAGCAGGAATGTGATGTACGCCAAATAGAGCATTGTCCAGATGATGGTCTCCGAGGGATCACAATCTCGAGTACTCTCGATGTTGTTCCAAACATCGATTGCGAGGCTTCGAGCTACATCTAGTCTTCCATCCGTCTCAATCTTTGCCGCAGCTAGCTGCAACCGGTGGACTATGTGCTCCGCGCTGTCTCCTTTGGGAGTTACTTTACCGACAATAGGTTCCAGAATCTCCACAGCGCGGTTCCAATAACCCTGAACGACGAGGAGATGCACTTGTTCCGTTAGAATATCTTTCGGTTTCGTCTTTTGTTGCGAGACCTTTGCAAGGCTTGCACGAGCTTCGGCAAAACAACCTTGTCGACGCAGAGATTGCACTGCCGCGAGGTCCGAATCGAGGTCTTCCATGATGGGAATCGGAAATTCCAGTGCACACAGAAGTGGCAAATAGTTATAGACTTTGAGGATGTGCAGGATCGTTGCAGTGCGTTAATTACAGCGGAGGCTGCAGGTACAGTTCATCTCTCAAAGCTCGTACGGCTGACGGCGGGACGACAACGCCCGCTGACGTAATTTATCGTCAGCCCATCGACATTCAAACAACCAAAACTCTCAAGCTTCAGTGCGCAACTGAAATTCCTTCAATCTTACTGCCATCATGAGCAAGGAAGAGTCGGTCCTTGACTGGGATCTCACGTTCACCGCGGACGAGGACGCCGAAGAGGAACTCGCGGACGAGCCCGAGCCCATCAACAAGGCTCTCATTACCGACGAAACAATCAAGCAATGTCGCATCATCGCCTCCGTTCGCTGTGTCGAGTATGGCATGATCGGAACCGCGCCAGGCAAGATGTCCCCTGCCTTGTTGCTCGTCTTCGCGTTCGCCTTTCATCCGTTCTCATCACGAATCAAACAAGCTGATGTGGACCTTCAATTCGACAATGGCATCATTGCCATCCTCCAACCCGAAACTGTTGACGATTCGGAGAGCGAGCTGTCGGTTCGAAACAAGTTGTACGGCTCATTCAGCATTGGCCATGATCCGGTCCACCTCGACCTCGGCGCCGAAAGGGAGACGGAACGGACAATAAAGTTTGCGTTGAGGATCAGAGGATCAGGACGAGACACAGATGTCGCAACTTGGACGTTGAAGGAGAACCCACAGCTGAAGGAAGGTATACATTTGGGCTTTACAGCCGTCGTTATCTTGGAGTCGGAAGGAGAAGTTAACGTGAATTTGGAAGTGCGGGCAAAGATTGGCGTCACTGCGAAGAATGTCTTGGGCATTCGGAAGATCATCACACGGAAGCAGAAGAGCTTTGACGGAAAGACCGCTCTCGGAATCAGACCAGAGACCTTAAAGATTGATGAGGGAATCTTCAAGACCGGCTCGCAAGCTTGACGCAGTCCTCCGAATTCGAGACGAGCTGGTCTTTCACTGAAGGAAGATCGAAGGAAGAAGAGATGAAAGGAAGAGGAGTCGGTCAGGCGAGTGCCGCAAAGATGCTAATTTTCGCTAATGTAGTCCACGTCCCAGAAATTCGGCGTTAGAAGTCGACGATTTCATACTTTTCAGCACTTTGCAAGCTTGCGTGACACAGATGTCCACGGTCCCATTCGCTCTTCGATTTAAAAAGACTAACCCCAGTTGTGACGGTCTAGCAAGAAGACAAACACTACCTTTATTTCTATTTTCAAGTCCTTCATGCATCTATAACGCTGTTCCACAAGTGAATCGAGTCATTTTATAGTATATTAGTATACCAAACCTAGCGAGCTTATGTATGTGGATAACTAGGGACTATATTCTATAGAAAGATAAAAAAAATAGCCTATTTTCTAGTGTTTATAGCTAATACTTTTCGTTCTACCTAGATTAAGCAATTTATAACTACGGATAAAGTTCTAGAACTTTTTAGAAAGCTTTATAAATATGTTAAAAAAGCTTATAACTATATAATCCGACGGTACCGCTTTAATAATAACTTAGCAAAATACTAGAGGATATAAGCGGAGACGAAGTAGTATATCTAGAATATAAGGTTTAGCATGCAATTATAAACAAAAACTCTAAGAGTCCTATTGCCCTAGACTAGTACTAATTGTATATAATAATTAGTAGTTGACAGGTACTTTGCAAGGCAAGGAGTAGAAAGGTTAATGTTCGTTTTAGATCGTAGTTAAACTCGGGTGATTCTTGGAGGATGACTTTGCATTCGATGCTCGCCACCCACACCCTTTATTTGTACCTCGATGTCGGACGCCCGGTTAAAATTGGCCCGTAAGCGGGCTGTAACGCCTTTCACATCTCCAATATACTGTGTCTTGACCTAAATCAAAAGCAAAGCCTTATTGGTCATCGAAACTAAGTCCTAGAGTACGCAACTCTGTTGGCATTTCCCGATCCATGTCACATAAGACAGACATGTGATGGTTGAGGAGCAAGTCGCTCAGCTGGGCTGGAGAGTACGGCTTGTTGCAGGACTTAGCTTGGCAGTACTCATACGGGGATGGCCAAGCGAAGAGACGACTCTTGGCGATCGCGGCTTAATAGATGACCCGCATCGCTTATATGTGCACTTCTTTGTTTTCGAAATCGGTTCTTCTTGCTAGAAGAAAGTCGAATGCATTCACATGGCTTGCGTCGCAAAGTTTGAGGTTGTCTGGGTGAGCTAATTTCCTCACCGGTCCGATATGGACGCCTCGTGAGTTCTCCACAAATCATCGGAGAAAGAGCTTGGTCCTTTACTTACGTGACTACTAACACGGAGTCCTGTATGCTGGCAGCATGATATATTCTGGCCTGGAGGAGCACTTGGAGGACCTCGTTTGGCTATTACGCTAGTAAAGCCAAATTTGACGTTGCGAGACGAACCCCACCACCAAGTAAAGGATCCAAGGCTTCGCCTGAACTCTGATCACATCGCTTTTGCAGCAGGCAGAAAGAGTGGCGCCACTACGTAGCCGAACGACACGCTGCGATTGCATGCCACAAAGTGCTGCCTAGTGTGTTCCTACCGATCGAAAGCCAAAATTGGGAGGACGAAGGTCAGCTTGAGCAGGGGTTTCGATCGAACGCATTCCTCCACTCGGTCTCGTCTACCCGAATACGAGTCTACTGCCAGAAGTCTTGCGGGGAAGTAGTGATCTGGAAAGTGCCCTATTATTACATCTATTATTACATACAATGGCTACGGTAAGCTTCAACTTATGGTTGCGGGTCCAGCCGCAGCTGAAAATCTTGGTACCAGCTGAAGTGCTAAACAGCTAATACAGACCGCGCAAGCCCACCGGCACTAGGAATGACCATCAACTCAACTTCCCCACTTCGAGAGATCGAAGTTTGTTATATGACGTTAGCTTCGTCTAGTCCCACCGTTGGTTCCATTGCTGCTGTGTAACAAGGCGTAGTCCCACCCTTTCCCAAACCGCCGGTAGCACTTTCGACAATTCGAACATCATGGCGTCCAACCTAGTCCCCGACTACGAGATCAAACTCCTTCTGAAGCCCTCAGAAGTGCTCGGATCAGACAACAAACTCAAAGATGCGGTTCTATCAGCGTTCTCCATCCCGTCGAGCACCAAGAAAATGAACATCCAATTCGTGGACACCAAGAACCAAGACATCTACACCAACGGCTGGAGCCTTCGGATCCGCAAGACAGAAGGCGCAAACAAGTTCGAGTTAACGTACAAGAAGCGCTATCCGATCGGCGGCGGATACTCTGGTACCGCTGAAGGCAACATCGATGCAGCGCTCAAGACGGCCGAGCAAGAGGGTCTCGATTCGACGACTACCTTCGAAGCGCAGGTTGAAGTGGGGTACCAGAAGCAGACCCTCTCTATCAGCCACGATGAGAAAGTCTCCGACACGGGTTTCGAAGGAATGGACCTTCCCCTTGCGGAGGATTCGCGGATGTTCCTCGCCAACAAAGCACCCGAAAAATTCAAGAATTGGTCAGCGGACAACTGGGGTGCTAACCATCTCGCTAAGTCCATAATTTACGGGCCGGTACTCGCGAAGCGGTCGAAAGGGACCTTGGATGAGCTCCAGCTTTCCATTGAAGTGTGGCCGATTCGGAAGAGCAAGACGGATGCGAGCCTTGAACCAATCGTCGAGGCGTCGTTCAAGACGCCTGACTTTGAGAAGGCGCTGGAGGGGCGCGCCAAGCTCATGGAGTTTTTGCAGAATAGAGGCTGGTTCCTGGCTGAGGATTCCTTGAGGACGAAGCTTATCATGGAAAGGTACGGAGAGATCACTCCGCATGTTTGATGGAAGATCTGTGCAGTAGGAGCTTTTTCACATAATTCGCGCTCTTCTTCAGTGGCTTTGGGAATGTACCAGCGACAACATGAAGCTTTTTTT